GTTGGTTGGGGATTTCAATGCAAAGTGGGTAAAAATGTTATGGAGAGTAGTAGTAAATTGGGTGCCCAGGGGTAAATGTAAATAGGGGAGCCATTAATAGACTATGTGTAGAAAAGAATTGGTAAAAGTAAATCCATATTTTTAATGAAAAACAGGATTAATAAATATACAAGGTAAGATGTAGCACGTAATGAAAGTAGTTTATTAGATTATGTATTGGTGGATAAAAAGTTGATGTAGGCTCTCAGGAATGTACCAAGTTTATAGAGGGACAACATGATATAACGAAAATTATTTAGTTTTAGCTACAGTTTAGAAGTAAGAGGTAGAATGGGAAAAGAGGAAGGTGGCAGCAACAAGTAGGAGGGAGGTGAAAGTGTAGACAACTGATATATCGGATAATTATTTAGTTTTAGCTACAGTTAGAGTAAGAGGTAGATGGGAAAAGAGGAAGGTGGCAACAACAAGTAGGAGGGAGGTGAAAGTGTATAAAACTAAGGGAGGAGGAAGTTCGGATGGGATATAAAGCGACCTATTGGCAGAAAAAGGTGGTCTAGAAGCAAAGGATCGTATGTGGGGGGGTTGAAGAAGGGTTGGAATAGTTTTTAAAAATGCAGTATTAGAATGTGGGGCAGAAGTTTGTGGTTATAGGAGGGTGGGGGAAGGAGGAAAGAGGTATGACTGGAGAATGAAGAAGTAAAGGGTTGAATAAAAGAGAAAAAGGTAGCTTACGAGGGGTTATTTACAAAGCAGAATGTTATAAGTAGAGCAAGTAGTATATGGAGATAAAGAGAAAGGTGAAGAGAGTGGTGAGAGAGTGCAAAAGGAGAGCAGGGATGAAAGAGTGGGAGAGGCAACTGTCAAAAATTTTAATGAAAAATAAGAAAAAAAAATTTTGGAGTGAGTTAACAAGTTAAGAAAGCCTATGGAAATATGGATTTAGTCATTTATAAAAACAGAGTAGGGGAGTTAGAAAAATGGGAGAGGGAGATATTAGGTAGAATGGCGAGAATAATTTGAGGAACTTTTTAAAAGTTGAGGAAGAAAGGGAGGCCGGGTAATTTCATGCACTGGCCAAAGGGAGGTATACCAACTTTTAGGAGTGAAGAAGAGCAGAATGTAAGTGTATTGGTGGAGTTACGTGAGCATAAAACGTAGAATGAAAGGGGTAAAGCAGCTGGAACGATGGGATCAAGACAGAAATGTAAAAGCAGGGGGGGAAATAGTGTTGGAGTGGTGTAACTTTTGTTTAAAATAAATGTATGAAAAGAAGGGGAAGGTACCTAGGGATTGGCGGAGAGCATGTACGTCCCTTTATCATAAAGAGAAAGGGGACAAAAAGAGATTGCAAAAAATTATAGACGGAAATAAGTTACTCATTATACCAGGAAAAGATATACGGTAGGGTTATAAATGAAAGAATAGAGGAAAACAGAATGTAGGATTTGATGATGCAGGGAGGCCTTCATAGTGGGTAGGGGATGTGTAGATCAAGTGTTTACATTGAAGCATATATGTGAACAGTAATTAATAAAGGTAGGAAGTTTTTAAAGTGCATATAAGGATTAAAAAAAGGCATATGATAGAGTTGATAGAGGAGCAATTGTGGCAGATGTTCAAGTAAAATTGAATAGGTGGTAAGTTACTAAATGGCTGTAAAGAGCTTTTATTAGGAAAGTGAGGCTTCAGGTAGGGTGTGTAGAAGAGAGGAGTATACTTGCCCGTACAAAGTAGTCTTAGACAGGGATGTGTCATGTCACCAAGGTTGTTTAAATATATTTATATATGGGGTTGTAAAAGAAGTACATGCTAGTGTGTTCAGGAGAGGGTTGGGGATGTAAATTATGGGGAATCAAATTCAAAATGGGAATTGACACAGTTACTTTTTTGCTGATGAACACTGTGCTTATGGGAGTATTCTGAAAGAAAAATTGCAAAGGTTTTAGTGGATGAGTGTTTAAGAATGTGTGTAACGGTAGAAAGTTGAATGTGAAACATAGAAAACGAGTAAGGTGATGAGAGATCAAATGAATTAAGATAAAGAAAAATTGGATATCAAATTGGGGGAGGAGTGAGCATGGAAGAAGTGAAAATGTTTTCAGATACTTGGGAGTATGACGTTCGCGGATGGAATTATGAAGGATGAGGTTAATCATTTGATCGGAGCATTGATTTAGGGAAAAAAAAGGTGAGTAGTGCGTTGAGGTATATGTGGAGTCAAAAAACTTTATCTATGGATGCTAAAGAAGGGAATGTATGAAGTATAGTAGTACCAACACTCTTAAATGGATGTGAAGCTTGGTGGTAATGCAGCAGCGCTGAGACGGTTGGAGGCAGTGAGAGAGGTCCCTGTCTAAGGGCAATGTGTGGTGTAAAATAATAGCTGAAAATTCGGAGTGTGGAAATTAGGAGAAGGTGTGGATTATAACCCCTTCAGGGGGTCCAAGGCCCAAATCTTGAAGTGGTGCCCCAGTGTCCAAGAATTTAAAAAAAAAAAATTTTTTATTTTTTCTTTGAAATGGTAATTCTTTTGTGAAGGTAATTATAATTATTATAATCAAAAGAAGCGCTAAGCTTGAAGGTAATAAAAAAAAAAGTACGAAATTTTGATGGAAACTTGACGAAATTAGCTCTCGCAAATTTTGAATGTGTCCAGCGCTATTTTCTTACAATCGGCGATTTATGCCGACTTTGGAACTCCATTTTATGCCAAATGCATAATTCCATGTATTTTTTTTTTTTTCAACAAGTCGGGCCCGTCTCCCACCGAGGCAGGTGGACCCTAAAAAGAAAGAAAATTACCCAAAAAGAAAAAACTATCATCATCAATCAACACATTTTCGCCACACTCACACATTATCACTGCATTTGCAGAGGTGCCAAATACAACAGTTTAGAAGCATATACGTATAGAAGATACACAACATATCCCTCCAAACTGCCAATATCCCAAAACAAGTTGGCCGTCTCCCACCGAGGCAGGGTGACCCAAAAAGAAGAAAAACCCCAAAAAGAAATATACTTTCTCACCATCATTCAGCACTTTCACCACCTGCACGTCACCCATAACACTGTTTTTTTTTGCAAGGTGGCTCCGAACACAACAGTTTAGAATCATATACATATAAAGAATACAAAAGATACACAACATATTCTCACCCAACAGCTAATATCCTGAACCCCCCTTTACAGGGCAGGCATTGTAACTTCCTATTTCCAGGACTCAAGTCCGGCTATATAAAAATAACCTGTTAATTGTAGTAAGGAAGAAAAAGGTAGCTATGAGAAGTTTTTTACAAAGTAGAAAGGATAGTGATGCACAGGAGGGAAGGAGTAATAATGGAGAAAAAGAAGAGAGGTTTAAGAGAGTGGTTGAAGCAATGTGGAAAAGAGAGCAAATGAGAGAGTGGGTTAGATTTATCAACAATTTTGTTGAAAATAAGAAAAATTTTGGAGTGAGAATAACAAGTATTAAAGGGAAGCCTAGAGAACAAATGAATTTGGTCAGTTAAAATACGAGAGGAGAGTTTAAATGAGAGGTTAAGGTATTTGGAGATTGAGGAAATATTTTGATGAATTGTTAAATGTTGATGAAGATAGGGAAGCGTGATTTCATGTGTAGGGCAAGGAGAATAACATCTTGTAGGGAGTGGAGGAAGATCCAGTTGTGAGATGTGGGTGGAAGTTCGTGAGGCATAGGTAAAATGAAAGGGGGTAAGTCAGCCGGGATTGATGGGATAAAGATAGTAAATGTTAAAAAAAGAAGGTGGGGGGTAAAATAGTTTTGGAGTGGTTGGTGCAATTTATTAATAAATGTATGGAAAGGTAAGGATCCCTAAGGGAATGGCAGAGAGCCATGCATAATTCATTAGTATAAAGGCACAGGGGACAAAAAAGAGAGTGCAAAAAATTTATAGGGGGATAAGACGTTGAGTATACATGGTAAAGTGTATGGGTAGTATTATAATTGAAAAGAAATAAAAGAGTAAGAACAGAGAATAGGGATAGCAATGAACAAGGAGGCTTTAGGAAGAGGTAGGGGGTGTGTGACCATGTGTTTACATATGAAACATATAAAGTGAAGCCGTAATTTAGAATACAGGCTAAAGAGGTCTTTGTGGCATTTAGGATTTGGAAAAAGGCAATGACAGGGTGGATAGGGGGCAATGTGGCAATTTGCAGGTGTAAGTTAGGAGGTAGTTACTGAAAGCCAGTGAAGAGTTTTTACCCCCGAGGATAGTGAAGCTCAAGTTAGAGTACATAGAAAGAGGGAAATTAATCCCAGTAAAAGTAGGACTAAGACACGGATTGTGATGTCACCATGTTTGTTTAACATATATTAAATGGATGGGGTTGTAAGAGAAATGTAAATGCGAGGTCCTTGAACAAGAGGCGTGGAGTTAAAAGATAAAGAATCAACACATAAAGTGGGAGTTAGTCCATAAAAAAAAAAAAACAGTTTGCTTCTTTGCTGGATGGGTGACACAGTGCTCTTGGGAGATTCTGAGAGAATTTGTTAGGAGATTGGAGGATGAATTTGGTAGGGTGGCAAAAGAAGAAAATTGAAAGTGAATACAGGAAGAGTAATGTTAAATTGAATAACCAAAAAAATAAGAATGATAGTTAGGATATCAGATTGGAGGGAGAGAGTATGGAGAGGTGAACTGTATTCAGATAGTTTGGGATTGGACGTGTCAGCGATGGGGTTTTCTTATCTATGAAGGATGAGGTGAAACATAGAATTGAAGAGGGGACAAAGGTGAGTGGTGCCTTAGGAGTCTGTGGAGACAAAAGAACTTTGTCCCTTGGAGGCAAAGAGGGGAAAGGAATGAGAAGTATAGTTTTAACCAACACACATATTCTGGGAGTGAAGCAGGGTGATGAATGTTGCAGCGAGTATAAGCTGGAGGCAGTGGAGATGTCCATGTCCTGAGGGCAATGTGTGGTGTGAATATAATGCAGAGAATTCGTATTTTTGGAATTTAGGAGGAGGTGCAAATAATTTTTTTTAAAGCTTTGTAATTTGTCACAACTCAAAAATAATCAAGTTTTCTGTTCATTGCATTACAGTTGTTGCTTGTTGATGTAGAAATTGTGGGGAGAGGGTGATGTAGCTTTATAGAGTACATGTACAAAGATAAGACAGGCAGTTCCACAACTATCACCTGCCTCCACCACAACCACAATCACCTGTAAACATCAGTAACAATACCATATATTACCAGCCATAAGATTTTTTTTACTAAATAAATTTTACCACAGTAATAGCCACCATAATATAAGTGCAAACTGTCCCTAAACATATGAAAAATGGTGAAAAAAAAAAAAAAAAAAAAAAAATTCAGGTTATCAGTGTGTCCTGTTGTTATTGCTGGACTGAGGGGTTGCATTGACCCCAAGGGTCTGTGTGTCTGTCTTTCTTTGTTGGGTTTATCAGGGCCACTGATAGCATAAGCCATATCAACCCCGACTTCTCGATGGTACGAGGAAGATTTGTTGCCCAAGCTGGGTGATGAAAGAAAAGGAACAAAAGTTCCTTTGTAAATAGAGGTAGAAACTTTAAATTTCCAATTAGATCCAGTGGACCCCATGCCAGGGCCCAGCAGAGCAGAACACCCACACCCCCACCTGAGTACAGTAACCTGCTTCCCACCAAAGACTGTTAAAGAATTATCTGCAGAGCGGAAAAAATGGAACTGGTTAAAGTAAGTCGATGACCAGGTGCCCCTCTTGTAGAGTGCCTGGCAGGCAAAATAGACGAGGACAAGTGTCCCAGAGAGAATGAGGGAAATTTATCACAAATACTCAGGCAAGAAAGAGACGTCCACACCTGACGAAGGCTGATGCAGAAGACTAGCCAGAAGTCTGTGTGTCTGTCTCACTGCTATGAAATTGACTACCAGAATGCTTCTGTAAATATAATTTGTTTAATACATATTAATTTTTTAAACAAAAAATAAAATAAACTATAATTTCCCTTGCATTTTCAATAATAAAAATAAGTCAGGAGCAGAGTGTGGGAGGGATGGACGGACATCCAGATGTAAACATGGCTGACACCCCTCACACAAGTCCTTAGTTTTTTATCAAAAATGTGAGTTTAACAAGAAAACACAAATTGTAAAGTAGGTACTGTTTGCACATTATATCCAGGTTCCTCTCCTTTTTTAACCCTGATAATGCAGCTGAAGAGCAGCAGAGGGTATATAAATAGTGGTGTTAGTTTCTCTCATGGAGAGGTGCAGAACCTGTCAATCCAGTATATAAACATTACCTCCAGTATCTAGCATTTTAGCCCTAATAATGCAAAGGATATGAGTTGCTGGTATGCAGGAAATAGCTAATTTAGTCAAATCTGTTAATTAAATTTGACTCCCACAGTGGTAAAAATTAAATAATGTTAATGCCATTGTAATGTATTACCTACCTATTATTGCATCTGTTGATAAATTTCTCTAATTCCACAGGCTATTCAGAACTCTGGCAACCTGCTTTCCATCACCTACTTTGTGATTTACCTCAGTCTTCATCAACCCATTTGCTGCTACATCAACTCCAAAGTGTCTGAATACTGTCTCTTCCAACACATCCCTTTCCATTTTGACCTCTAGTCCTTCATGAGTGAGAAAACTTTCTATGAGTGAAAAAATGCATCATCTAATAGGTATGAGAAAAACAGGTTAATTTGTTTCATAGTTACCAAAGTGAAATAGATACAGTGTTCTAGATCCATATGTACAAAAGTGTAAAATATGTAAAATTAATTATGCATAAATAATTAAAACATCTGTATTATACAACACTATCCACATTTCTAATTACAGTACCTTGCCCAAAACTAATAGCGCATGTTCTGATGGTAACTTGATGCTATACAATACTATACTCAACTTGCCTTTAGGAATTTGAGACATTAAGCTAGCATAGTATACAGTACTGAGTTGGATTTTATACTCTCTTTTGAAAATTTTACTTGTCTCATGTGAACAGTAATAATTTCAGACTGATTCTCCCTAGATTTCTCTACAGTAAATAAAAAGTTGCAGTATGGCTGTGAGCTAATACATCAAAAAAAAAAAAAGAGGCACATATAGCAAGAGATCTTTTATTATTACAATTTTTCAGCTACGAAAGGCTTTGATAAATTACCTTGCAGGTGAAACATCATGATAAAAAAAAATCTCCTTGGCAATAAAATATAATTAATGCCACTTCTCATAAATGGTCTTACTAGAAAAAACTTTTCATAAGAAATAGTTATAGTTTTAAACATTTATCTTTGCCTAAGAGGCTAGTGATAAAGGTGGTAGTGATGGTGATGCAGGGCTCCCTAATACTTGAATCCATTACTGTACTGGAAGGTATAGCCTTGTTTCTGCTTATAGAGTTTATTTGTGTTCCAGAAGGTAGTACCTCACCTCTGCTTGTAGAGTCTGTTGATATTCTGGAAGGTAGTACCTCACCTCTGCTTGTAGAGTCTGTTGATATCCTGGAAGGCAGTGCTTCACCTCCGCTTATAATTGTTACGCAACATGTTGCCATGAGTGTTGTAATACCAGTGGTTAAAGTGGAAGGGATGTGGCCAGCCAGTGTGTTTTTGTAACTGATAGTCCCTTGTAATGTGATTGCTATTTTCACTATAATCTTGACTGTTAAATTGGCCTAAACCTTCATCATTAAATTGGTCTAATCCTTCATCATTAAATTGCTTTAAACCTTGATCATTCAGTTGGTCTGAATCTTGATCATTAAATTGGTCTAAACCTTGATCATTAAATTGGTCCAAACCTTCATCATTAAACTGGTTTAAACCTTGATTATTAAATTGGTTTAAGTCTGGATTTCTGCCTTCAGGTAAAACTGTAGTGACAGGTTCATTTAAAGTAGGACCTTCACCTAAATCAGAACCTTGGTTATCACCTTCACCTAAACCTTGGTTGTCAACACTGTTTCCTACATCTTGAGTGGTATTATTATCTTGTTGCCCATTGTCAGGAGGTGCATCCTCTCCTCCAAACAGGGAATCCTTCATGTAAGGACTAGAGATGTACGCATTCACTGAAAAAGAGTTAAAACTGAATAGGTGAAGTTGCACATTTAAGTGTGTACTACATCCTAAATAGTTATTAAGTCTCATGGTATACATGTTAAAGGCTGGAGCTAGCTGCAGTGTTCAAGTGTTTTTGTTGAATTCGCCGATCATCTCTTGAATACAGTGTATAAAATCTGTTGGTCAGTTGTTATAAATGTGGTGTTAAATGTAAAGTGAAAAATTTCATACAATCAAAACAGCCCTATTAGGTTCATTTTCATCTTATTTTTGGTATTTGAACCTTATATGTGACTGCTCTCTGAGAGTCCTATCTTCAGTGCTGATTCTCTTTATAATGTCTTAGATGAAACTGATGTATTGCAGTAACTTAGACTTTTCCTTGGCACTTGCCTACCCCTGCACATTCCTTTTTCTACCATTTAGCATTGTAGGACTCATTTGGGTTTAGCACTTTCTTGTGAATATAACGATACAGAAATTGTATATGTAATTTGTTATTAAAAGCAATAAAGAATTTTGTATGTGGAAAATAATTCTCAGGCTAGCATATGTAGGAGAGGGGAGATCATTTTCTAATAAAAATAGGTGATACACAGTGATGGGTAATGTCACCCTGATTATTCAATATATTTATAGATAGGATCATAAAAGAAGTAAATGCTATGGTTTTGGGGGAATGTGTAGGATTAAAGGATAATGAATCTGGTACAAAGTGGGAATTGTCATAGTTGCTTCTTGCCAAGGACACAGTTCTTTTAGGAGTTTCTGAAGAGAAGTTACAAAAGTTAATGGATGAGTGTTGGTGAAGAGTGTGTACAGGAAAGAAATTAAAGAGGAAAGTGAGAAGAGTAATGTAAAATTGGAAGGAAGAAGCATGTACGAAGCGATTGCATTTAGCTATTTGGGAGTGAATTCATTAGCAGATGGGTCTATGAAAGACAAGGTGAACCATAGAATAGATGAAGTGAAAAAAGGTAGGTAGAGTGTTATTAACCCCTTCAGGGTCCAAGGCCCAAATCTGAAGTGGTGCCCCAGTGTCCAAGAATTTAAAAAAAAAAAATTTGTTATTTTTTCTTATGAAATGGTAGAGAATCTTTTTGTGAAGGTAATAAAACAAAAAGTACAAAATTTGATGGAAAATTGACGAAATTATGCTCTCACGAATTTTGATGTGTCAGCGATATTTACGAATCGGCGATTTTGCCGACTTTGACTCCCATTTTAGGCCAATTACATTATTCCAGTCAACCAAATTCTTAGCTATTTCACTAGTATTACTTCTATTCTATCGATTGAGCACGAGAAATCGCCAAGTCAACTGTTTCAACTACAAATTAAAGTGATAGGAAATTGTTAATTTGGCCAATTTAACACAAAGTTCAAAATATTCCAATTTCAAAATAGGGTCCAGAATAAACAATGTAGGTATTCTTGGAACTAAACTAACATTTCCTCTGTTCATTAGTTACGTTTTGAGGCTTTACAAATAAATTTCCTTTTGATTTTTTATTCGCATAATGAATTTTTATTCACACCAAAAAATAGAAGATTTACTGTTATGCAATACTGTAATAATTGTATAAATATCATCACCATATTTGTGAATGCATATTAGACCCACCAGCTGGTGTGTATTAGACGTGTGAGGTCGTTTGTTTACTCTTGAATATCGGCAAAAATTTAACATTTCTGCTACTTTGAGCTCAGTTTCAAGCCATTTCCAGTGCTAAAACCAATCAAAATCATCTCTATTTCTGTAATATGTCTTCCATTCTATCAAATGAGACCAAGAAATCGCAAATACAACTATAAAAAACATACGAAAAAACACTGCAAAGTCGCTGTTTTAATCGAAAAATCATGATTTCAGTTTTTTCTCTCATTATACAGTGTGCTGCAGGATCTGTTTTATGTGGTGCACACATACCACATAGCTGTATTCTCTCATATCTAGGCCCAAATGTACCACTCACAGTTTATCAGAGTGAGCTGAGCTTATAACGTAGATCTACGGTTTGGACCCTGAACGTAAAGCCGTAGATCTACGGGACGGACCCTGAAAGGGTTAAAGTGTCTGTGGACAGAAAGAAATTTATGTAATCAAAAGAGGAATGTACCAAGAGTATAATAATACTAAGCCTCTTATGTGGGTATGAATGTGGGTATGAAGCATCTGACTCAAACATGATATTTCCACTGCCTCTTTTGAAGGCAGTGGAAATATAATGTTTGAGAGCAATGTGTGGTGTAAATATACAAAGAATCTGGAGCATAGAAATTAGATGGTGTTTGGTTACAGAAAGTATTATTCAAAGGGCAAGAAGAATGGCTGTTAAAATGGCTTGGGCATTTAGAGATGGTGGAGCAGGATAGGATGACCAAGAGAGTATAAATCTAGGGTGGAAAAGACAGATGGGGTTGTCTTAGGAAGGGTTGCAAGGTGGGAGGGTGTGAAAGAAGTTTCAAATGATAGGGGCATGAGCATCTAGAAGGCATGTGTGGGTGTGTTAGATTGGGGTGAGGGAAGCAATTGGGTTTTAAAGATTTGATGTGCTGTTGGAGTTTGAACAAGCTAACATTTAGGGAAACAGGTTACCCAGACTCTACCATCCCCCTCCCCTGAAGGCAGGGGAGGGGAATGGTAGAGTTTGGAGGATCATTTACATTGTGATATCTGCACACTTCTGACAGGGCAATTATTAAATGAATGATGATAAATGTTTCCTCTTTGGGATCACCCCGCCTTGGTGGGAGACAATCAATATGGTCAAAAAAAAAAAATCCTATATGATACACATACTGTATTGGTTTTAACCCTTTCAGGGTTTCCGACGTACTAGTATGGCTTACGCACCAGGGTTATTGACATACATATGCGTAAATTCTAGCGCCTTCAAATCTAGCGAGAGAAAGCTGGTAGGCCTACATTTGAAAGAATGGGTCTATGTGGTCAGTGTGCACAGTATTAAAAAAATCCTGCAGCACACAGTGTGTAATGAGGAAAAAAAAAACTTTGTGTTTTATATTTAAAACAGCGACTTGGCACTGTATTTTCGTATGGTATTTATGGTTGTATTCTAGTTTTCCTGGTCTCATTTTATAGAATGGAAGATATATTACAGAAATTGAGATGATTTTGACTGCTTTCACAATGAAAAGTATTTTGAAATTGAGCTCAAATTAGCAGAAATGTTTGATTTTTGCCAAAGTTCAAAAGTAAACAAACCATGCCACGCTTCCAATACACGTCAACTGGGGAGTCCGATATTATTTATACCATTTCTTCACTCGTGCAGTAGTCTGCATAAGAGTAAATCTTCTATTTTTTTTTTGTGAGACTAAAAATTCAAAATGGAAAGCAAAAGAAATGTAAGAGGGGCCTGGGGATGTGACTAATGAACAGAGGAAATGTTATTTTAGTGCCAGGAATGTCTGTCTTGTTTATTCTGGACCCTATTTGGAAATTGGCATCTTTTGAAATTTGTGTGAAATTGGCAAAATTGCTAATTTCTGACCACTTCATTGGATAACTGAAATCGGTAAATGGGTGGTTTCTTGTACTCATTCGATAGAAAAAATGGAGTTCTAGCGAAATAGTTATGAATTTTGTCGACTAGTACACTGGAATTGGCCAAAAATAGGGCTCAAATTGGGTGAAATCGCCGATGCGTAAAATCGTTGAGACCACTAACTTCGCAAGAGCATAATTCCGTAAGTTTTCCATCAAATTTTATACTTTTGGTGTCATTATGATCGGGAAAAGATTCTCTATCTTTTCATAAGAAAAAAACAAATTTTCTGAAAAATTTTCGACCCTGAGAACAAGTATAGGAGAGGGCCTCTCGATCCTGAAAGGGTTCAATTCCATGTGTTGGTACTGCATTGTATTTTCTGATGAATATAATGGTACACCATACCAACAAGTAGATAAGTAAGACACATGCAACTGGTAGGTATCTTTATTCTGAAACATATTTTGTACACAGTATTCTTTATCAGTCAGATACAGAGGTGACAAATGTGGAGACAGCAGAAGCAGTGAAGAAGAAAAGACTATTTCCTGGACTGATCACATCATCTTTACCTCTGCACTGCTTCTGCTCTCTCTATATTTCCCACCTCTGTATCTGACTGAAGAAGCCTACTGAGTAAGCAAACCATTTCAGAGTAAAGCTACTTACCTGTTGCATGTCTTACTTATCTATTAGTATTCTGCTGTTAAATACAGCAAAAAGCTGCTAAACAGGCCTATTAAATACAATGTTCTGCAAAATTTTGTGGTCTGGGGATACATTATGTGGCTTCATGCTGAATGTTGTAGTCTAGTTAAAAATGTTGTATTTTATGGTCTTATTGTAAATGGTATAATCTGTTGGTAAATTCTGGTCCAGTCCTAAATACTATAATATGATCTAGTTCTAATGTTAATTTGATTGTAGTTATGTGTTGTAGTCTGGTGTTAAATATTGTAGTCTGGTGTTAAATGTTGTAGTCTGGTGTTAAATGTTGTAGTCTGGTGTTAAATGTTGTATTCTGTTGTTAAATGTTGTACATGTATTCTGTAGTTACATGTTGTAGTTTGGTATTAAATGTTGTACTCTGTAGTTGCATGTTGTGGTCTGGTGGTAAATGTTGCCATCTGATGTTATATGTTGCCCGCTCAACCAAGCTGTGATGGATATGCAGGTGAATGGGCCACCAGTAGCAACAGCCTGGTTGACCAGGCAAACACCAGATGAGCCTGGCCCAAGGCCGGGCTCTGGGAGTAAAAAAACTCTCCAAACTCGTTAAAAGGTATCAAAAGTGGTGGTAAGTGTTGCAATCTGATGTTACATGTTGTGGTCTGGTATTTAATGTTGCAATCTGAGCTTAGATATTGTGTTCTGGCATTAAATGTTGCAGTTTGATGAAACATGTTGGGGTCTGGCATTAAATGTTGAAGTTGATGTTATTAGTTGTCTGATGTTAGGATGTTTGGCCCTTAACTTCCTCTCTTCTTCCCTCTCCACACTCTTGCTTCCTCCTTTTTTAATTGTGCTCTACCCACCTAAATGAACATTTTCCAATCCATCTTTTAATATTATAGATGAGCCTTTTAAGGCTTACATCATTAAATGCAATAATTTCCTTTTAAAATCAGTAATTGGCTAAATTCAAGTTGACACAATCTGTGCTCATTAGTGTTGGTGAAATTCACATTTTTTATCACAACTCTTTGAAAAGATAATGCTAGACAAATGATATGCACCAATGGAACTGAGGTAATTATAATGAAGTGGGAAAATATGCACACTGCTTCTGGTTAACAATGTATACTTACAGAAAAGTGATTGAGAGGCTGCAAGGATGAAGAGGTTGAGGGCGAACTTCAAGGGATCATATATTCCTAGAGCAAATTGCCCGGGTATACCTATGGTATTTCTCCGCAAAACTTTAATTGGTCCAGGGTAAACTGTTACATTTTGCAATGTTATCTGTTCATTGAAAAAAGAAAATTCTCTAAAATATCTTTTAACTGTCTCCCACCAGTCTACTATTGAATCATATTCCTTAAGAGAATTGACCAGCTGTTTAATGAAACGGAAGAGCTGACCAATGGGATCAAATGTAATGGTGGTAGAAGTCTCTTCAGCATTTGCATTCACTGGAGCTGTTGTGTTGCTCTCATTCACAACCTCTATTATAGGATAAAAGTAGTTAAAACTAAAAATCTTATCTAATATTGTTTTGTCAAAGATCGAAGTGTTAAATAGTGATGACTTTAATCTTGGCTTGAGAGGTAGTGCATCCAAGGAACTTATGATTTTCTCAGATTGTATAGTTGCATCAGAGGTGGACTGTGTAGTACTGGAAGGAGCCACATGTTTCTCTTGGTCATCACTGGGCACTGATAAGCCAAGTCCCAAAAGACACATCATTGCAGTCAGCAGATAGTGCCATGTCAAAGCCATCTTGCCACCTGAAAAAAAAATTGAGTCTGCTATCCAAAAATCTTAACTTACAATGGTATACATGTATAACATAAAAGGACTAATGCTTTTCATGAGTATTATAATTCTTGCATTGCAGGTTTCATTCATTATATTATTTCTTTATAGCATTTTCTAGGAAATTCATACAAAAAATCATAACAATATGCATATCCATACAATAGAATAAATAAATTGCAATGAAAATGCAGGTTTACATTCTATATCATTCTGTAAATAAGTTTTTCAAAAGTTCACTTTGCAGATGGTGAAGGGCTTTTGATCTGAGGAATTACAGCTGCCAGTGTCCAATCTTTTCCTTTATTAAACATGAAGAAGAATATTTTGAGGAACTTTTAAATGTTAAGGAAGAAACAGAGGCAGTAATTTCATGCACTGGTCAGGGAGGTATACCATCTTTTAGGAGTGAAGAAGAGCAGAATGTAAGTGTGGGGGAGGTACGTGAGGCATTACGTAAAATGAAAGGGGGTAAAGCAGCTGGAACTGATGGGATCATGACAGAAATGTTAAAAGCAGGGGGGGATATAGTGTTGGAGTGGTTGGTACTTTTGTTTAATAAATGTATGAAAGAGGGGAAGGTACCTAGGATTGGCAGAGAGCATGTATAGTCCCTTTATATAAAGGGAAAGGGGACAAAAGAGACTGTAAAAAATTATAGAGGAATAAGCTTACTGAGTATACCAGGAAAAGTGTACGGTAGGGTTATAATTGAAAGAATTAGAGGTAAGACAGAATGTAGGATTGCGGATGAGCAAGGAGGTTTTAGAGTGGGTAGGGGATGTGTAGATCAGGTGTTTACATTGAAGCATATATGTGAACAGTATTTAGATAAAGATAGGGAAGTTTTTATTGCATTTATGGATTTAGAAAAGGCATATGATAGAGTGGATAGAGGAGCAATGTGGCAGATGTTGCAAGTATATGGAATAGGTGGTAAGTTATTAAATGCTGTAAAGAGTTTTTATGAGGATAGTGAGGCTCAGGTTAGGGTGTGTAGAAGAGAGGGAGACTACTTCCCGGTAAAAGTAGGTCTTAGACAGGGATGTGTAATGTCACCATGGTTGTTTAATATATTTATAGATGGGGTTGTAAAGGAAGTAAATGCTAGGGTGTTTGGGAGAGGGGTGGGATTAAATTATGGGGAATCAAATTCAAAATGGGAATTGACACAGTTACTTTTTGCTGATGATACTGTGGCTTATGGGAGATTCTAAAGAAAAATTGCAAAGGTTAGTGGATGAGTTTGGGAATGTGTGTAAAGGTAGAAAGTTGAAAGTGAACATAGAAAAGAGTAAGGTGATGAGGGTGTCAAATGATTTAGATAAAGAAAAAATTGGATATCAAATTGGGGAGGAGGAGTATGGAAGAAGTGAATGTTTTCAGATACTTGGGAGTTGACGTGTCGGCGGATGGATTTATGAAGGATGAGGTTAATCATAGAATTGATGAGGGAAAAAAGGTGAGTGGTGCGTTGAGGTATATGTGGAGTCAAAAAACGTTATCTATGGAGGCAAAGAAGGGAATGTATGAAAGTATAGTAGTACCAACACTCTTATATGGGTGTGAAGCTTGGGTGGTAAATGCAGCAGCGAGGAGACGGTTGGAGGCAGCGGAGATTGTCCTGTTTAAGGGCAATGTGTGGTGTAAATATTATGCAGAAAATTCGGAGTGTGGAAATTAGGAGAAGGTGTGGAGTTAATAAAAGTATTAGTCAGAGGGCAGAAGAGGGGTTGTTGAGGTGGTTTTGGTCATTTAGAGAGAATGGATCACAGTAGAATGACATGGAAAGCATATAAATCTATAGGGGAAGGAAGGCGGGTAGGGGTCGTCCTCGAAAGGGTTGGAGAGAGGGGGTAAAGGAGGTTTTGTGGGTAAGGGGCTTGGACTTCCAGCAAGCGTGCGTGAGCGTGTTAGATAGGAGTGAATGGAGACGAATGGTACTTGGGACCTGACGATCTGTTGGAGTGTGAGCAGGGTAATATTTAGTGAAGGGATTCAGGGAAACCGGTTATTTTCATATAGTCGGACTTGAGTCCTGGAAATGGGAAGTACAATGCCTGCACTTTAAAGGAGGGGTTTGGGATATTGGCAGTTTGGAGGGATATGTTGTGTATCTTTATATGTTTATGCTTCTAGACTGTTGTATTCTGAGCACCTCTGCAAAAACAGTGATAATGTGCGAGTGTGGTGAAAGTGTTGAATGATGATGAAAGTATTTTCTTTTTGGGGATTTTCTTCTTTTTGGGTCCCCCTGCCTGGGTGGGAACGGCCGCTTGTTGAAAAAAAAAAAAAAAAAAAAAAAAAAGCTAAACCTCCCCAACAAAATCATTTTCTACATTTATGTCTACCTGTTTTGCTTTAAGTACCTTGATCCATTAAATTTGGAGCTATCCTCCACTTCCTTAGGAAAAAAACCTGAAAAACCCTCCCATTTCTAAATTGCGTATGATTTTGGGGGTTTGGGTTTCTCCATGAATAAAAATAATACATCTCATAAAAGTCCAATACCTTCGATCATTGTCCCCCTTCATCGCTGCTGATATGGGCAACTTATTCTCCTATTTGTGTACCACGTCCAAAACACCTCACAGAGAAACACCCAATTCACCCCACGAAAATTTTAATTTTTCAGAGAGCAAAAACAAATTTCTTTTTAAAAGCTTCTTCACTTCACCAGTGAGGTCACTCTAACTGCTCTCCTCTCTGAAAGTTCCTTGTTCACTGCAGATTTCCTATAACTTTTTTAACAGAAATTACATTATTGCACCAACTGTGACTTTCACTTCACACTAGAACTAACTTTCAACTCTTCTAACCCTTAATGAATGCAACTTCCTTCAAACACAGTGTTGCATGACAAATTTAGCATTTCCTTTTGAATATGTATAATCTTTCAATTTATATGAACTGACAGCTTCATTTGCAAGTTCACCAGTGAAGCTGTTATTTCCAAACTTTGCTCTGCAACAGAAAAAACTCCTGTGTAGATGTTGGGATCTGCATGCATAGGGTTCCACTCCAAACTGAATTGTTCCTTATGCTATACTTGCACTCAAACATCCAATCTTGATACTAATTGAAAGTAACTATCAAAAATAAATGTTGTAAAATTCACAAAGCAAGAACCCACCTTATAAAGGATTCCATGGATTTTGTCTGTAAAACTATTCTTACAAGCAAAGCCCATGAACAAAGATACAAATATATTATTTGGTTTAAATGATGAGGATATTCACTCATGCTTTAGAATTTTAAGCTTTGCACAACTCCCAGTGGGTTTTTGCATTGCTTCATGCATAGATTATAACAGCATCAGAACCTAGGTACACATGGCAGAGTTATATACAACTGCCAGACCACCTGTAAATTCTCTCCCTTTCTGCAAAAAAAGAGGCTCTTGTTCCAGGGAGTTTGACTTCTTCATTCCCAATGAAAAGCAGGGGTGCCATAAGTATACTAAGAGATAACACAGCAAGTGTCAAGGGCCCAAGACTGTTCAGCTGCATACATAAGGGAAATTACTAATAGACCCCCAGCTGTCTTCAAAAGGGAGCTAGACAAACACCTGAAGTCAGTACCTGACCAACCGGGCTGTGGTTCATACGTTGGATTATATTTGGCCAGCAGTAACAGCCTGGTTGATCAGGCCCTGATCCATTGCGAGACCTGGTCATGGACTGGGTTACAGGGGGTTATGAACCCCACAACACCCTCCAGGTATCTTAAACAAAAGAAATCTACAGGACCCTCAGGAAAACCAACAACCACCATACATTAGGTAAAAACAACTAACTTCTAGTGGTGATAGACTGGAATAATTATAGTAACATTGGTTATAAGCTAGAACATCTAATATTGATGTACACTTGTGCACACCCACACAGAGTGAGAGGATGAGGATCAGGCAAGACTACAAAGGGATCTGGACAGGCTGCAAGCCTGATCCAGCAACTGGCTTTTGGAGTTTAACCCCACCAAGTGCAAAGTCATGAAAATTGGGGAAGGGCAAAGAACACTGCAGACAAAGTACAGTCTAGGGGGCCAAAGACTGCAAACCTCACTCAAGGAAAAGGATCTTGGGGGTGAGTATAATACCGAGCACATCTCCTGAGGTGTACATCAACCAAATAACTCCTGCAGCATATGGGCACCTGGCAAACCTAAGAATAGCGTTCTGATACCTCAGTAAGGAATTGTTCAAGACTGTACACCGTGTACACCAGGCCCATGTTGGAGTATGCAGCACCAATTTGGAACCCATACCTGGAGCTAAGGGGTATGTCCTACAAGGAGAGGTTGAGGGAAATCGACCTGACGACACTGGAGGACAGGAGGGATGGGGGAGACGTGCTAACGACATCTGAAATACTGAGAGGCATTGACAAGGTGGATAGGGACAGTTTCAGAGATGTGACAGCAACAAGGGGTCACAATTGGAAGTTGAAGACTCAGATGAGTCACAAGGATGTTAGGAAGTATTTCTTCAGTCATAGAGTTGTCAGGAAGTGGAACAGTCTGGAGAGTGATGTAGTGGAGGCAGGATCCATTCATAGCTTTAAGAAGTATGATCAAGGTCATGGAGCACCGAGGGAGTAAACCTAGTAGTGACCAGTGAAGGGGGGTGGGGCCAGGAGCTATGAATCGACCCCTGTAACCACAATTAGGTGAGTACATACACACAGTAGTATTTATTAGCACATATATACTCTGAAAGAACATGAAGTTTAAAATATTTACATGTCTGAATTAGCAATATTAATACCACAGTAGAGATAAATTAATACTTTTTTTTATATTTCAAGTGAAATTAAAATGTATTGTGAGCTGTAGAAGTAAGAAGCAACACATTGTTTACTTACAGTGGTAGAGGTAAGAAGCAACACACCAGGAACACTTGAAGCAACACACCAGGAGCACCCTTGAAGCAACTTATCAATTGTTTTCTTTCACACACTTAAGCAGTTCATCATTGGTATCTACGTAGAGTCATTGGAAAGTTTTATATCCTGGTTATATAATAATATGAATGATGAATTATCCAGTTATACAGTGGCTGTTTCACTTATATTGAGCTGTTATACACTGCATCACAAGGTATTCCTCTAGTGCTCTTTCACTCTTATGGGTTTAGCGCTTCTCCGTAAAAATAATAATAGTTATATGAAATAGACGTTTAGTAATAAAAATATTAATAATAACTGAGCATTAAGAGCAAAGTTTACTCACTGGAAAAATAAAATACATGAAGTGAATTGATGAGGTTAAGTTAGGTAAGATTAGTCAGGAAAGAAAACCTGTGTTTGATTGGTGTAATGACCTGGGTCAGTGTTTGATGACTGGTGTGATGACCTGGACCAGTGTTTGATTGGTGTAATGACCTGGGTCAGTGTTTGATGATTGGTGTGATGACCTGGACCAGTGTTTGATTGGTGTAATGACCTGGGTCAGTGTTTGATGACTGGTGTGATGACCTGGGCCAGTGTTTGATTGGTGATGACCTGGGTCAGTGTTTGATGATTGGTGTGATGACCTGGACCAGTGTTTGATTGGTGTAATGACCTGGGTCAGTGTTTGATGATTGGTGTGATGACCTGGACCAGTGTTTGATTGGTGTAATGACCTGGGTCAGTGTTTGATGATTGGTGTGATGACCTGGACCAGTGTTTGATTGGTGTAATGACCTGGGTCAGTGTTTGATGACTGGTGTGATGACCTGGACCAGTGTTTGATTGGTGTAATGACCTGGGTCAGTGTTTGATGACTGGTGTGATGACCTGGGCCAGTGTTTGATTGGTGATGACCTGGGTCAGTGTTTGATTGGTATAATGACCTGGGTCAGTGTTTGATGACTGGTGTGATGACCTGGGCCAGTGTTTGATTGGTGTGATGACCTGGGTCAGTGTTTGATTGGTGTAATGACCTGGGTCAGTGTTTGATGACTGGTGTGATGACCTGGACCAGTGTTTGATGACTGGTGTGATGACGTGGACCAGTGTTTGATGACTGGTGTGATGACCTGGACCAGTGTTTGATGACTTGTGTGATGACCTGGACCAGTGTTTGGTGACTGGTGTGATGACCTGGACCAGTGTTTGATGACTGGTGTGATGACCTGGACCAGTGTTTGATGACTGGTGTGAAGACCTGGACCAGTGTTTGATGACTGGTGTGATGACCTGGACCAGTGTTTGATGACTGGACCAGTGTTTAATGACTGGTGTGATGACCTGGACCAGTGTTTGATGACTGGTGTGATGACCTGGACCAGTGTTTGATGACTGGTGTGATGACCTGGACCAGTGTTTGATGACTGGACCAGTGTTTGATGACTGGTGTGATGAACTGGACCAGTGTTTGATGACTGGTGTGATGACCTGGACCAGTGTTTGATGACTGGTGTGATGACCTGGACCAGTGTTTGATGACTGGTGTGATGACCTGGACCAGTGTTTGATGACTGGTGTGATGACCTGGACCAGTGTTTGATGACTGGTGTGATGACCTGGACCAGTGTTTGATGACTGGTGTGATGACCTGGACCAGTGTTTGATGATTGGTGTGATGACCTGGACCAGTGTTTGATGACTGGTGTGATGACCTGGACCAGTGTTTGATGACTGGTGTGATGACCTGGACCAGTGTTTGATGACTGGTGTGATGACCTGGACCAGTGTTTGATGATTGGTGTGATGACCTGGACCAGTGTTTGATGACTGGTGTGATGACCTGGACCAGTGTTTGATGACTGGTGTGATGACCTGGACCAGTGTTTGATGACTGGTGTGATGACCTGGAAAGAGCATCATAAAATGAAGCAGCGCTGTATGGCCCCTGTGGGTTTAGCGCTTAGCTATGATTGTGATAATAATATCCAAAGATGCTGGTAGTTGTAACATTATATAATAATAATAATAATAATAATAATAATAATAATAATAATAATAGCAGTTTTTTTGCGATTCTGGATAGCTTTTAATGCCTTATATCTGTCTCATAAATGTTGCAGTCTTCAGATTGGGGTAGCAGTCTAGATTTCCCAGTCTGTCAGAGTTCTTTTCAAGTTTTCCTCTACACACTGGTGTATGTGCTGTACAAGTTATATGATTGTTGCTCCATGTGTAACTCTCCAGGAGAGCTGTACCTCCCCTGGTGAGACGTCGTGGGATGTGTGTACCTCCTGTGGTGAGACGTCAAGGGATGTGTGTACCTCCTGTGGTGAGACGACAGGGGATGTGTGTACCTCCCGTGGTAAGACGTCAGGGGATGCGTGTACTTCCCCTGGTGAGACGTCAGGGGATGTGTGTACTTCCCCTGGTGAGACGTCAGGGGATGTGTGTAGGTAATTTGAGGCCAGTGTTGGTCTGGCCTTCCTACAATATCTTCACTTCTCTCCCTCTTATCATCAACATTTTCTATGATATATTGATCTAAACCTTGATTGTCTTGATAAAAATCTTGATTATTCACTTGATCGTTGTCTTGATAAAAATCTTGATTATACAATCGATCAGAGTCTTGATTATATACTTGATCGAAACCCTGATTGTTGTCTTGATTAAAATCTTGATTATACACTTGATCAGAGTCTTGATTATACACTTGATCGAAACCCTGATTGTTGTTTTGATTAAAATCTTGATTATACACTTGATCTTGGTCTTGATAATACACTTGTAAAGCATGATTTACAACACTCTGCACAACACCTGCTAAAGTACCCTGAGAAAAACTTTGTTCAGCTGGCTTTGTACTTTGATCTTGACCTGGATGGTCACCAGGTACTGGAGTGTCTCCTATATTAACACCGGGATCACCACTCACTTCACTGACACTCACATTAATATATGGATCACCATCTGAACCAACATGCTGATGACCACCTTGATCAGCAAACTCGTCACCAGTTTGATCAGTATATTGAAGAGTAGGTTGATCAGTAACCTGAGTTGTACCTTGATCACCACTATAGTCTTGATCGATTCCCTCATTATACTGATGAGTAGTACTTTCACTATCAGTCAAATTGTTGCTCTCATCATCAGCCAGTCCCGTCATCAGTACATTAAGTTCTCCTCCATACAAAGAACTATTATAGTTCTGCGTCTCTTCTCTTAGAATTTTGGGGAGATTCCAACACCCTGAAAGTTATACAGTGAAGTCTATTAAAAGAATTGTATGTGTATATCAAAATATGATACAAATTGTAACAGTATATATATAAGGAAAAATAATTATAGCTGTTTTGGTTTACGAACGAACAGTAGTCTCTTATTTGTTAAACATTAAGAAATAATTCTGTATGTGTAAGAGAGTACTCACCTATTTGTGGTTGCAGGGGTCGAGACACAGCTCCTGGCCCCGCCTTTTCGCTGGTCACGTGTGTGTGACTTGAGTTCTCGTCTATTTACACTCGCATTTTTTGATTGCAGGGTCGAGTCTTAGCTCCTAATACTGTCTTTTAATTTGCCACTTAACAGATTTGCCTCATCCACGCCTAATGCTGCCTCTCTCTCTGTACTCACTTATATGTGGTTGCAGGGGTCGAGTCTGTCTCAGCTCGTGGCGCCGCCTCACAACTTGCCGCTTACAAGATTCATTTTCTCCTAGCCTCATGGAACTTATCGTACCTATTCTTAAACTTACGTATTGAGTCTGCCTCCACTACTGGCTGTCTTCAAGCAGGCACTGGACAAGCACCTAAAGTCGGTACCTGACCAGCCGGGCTGTGGTTCGTACGTTGGCTTGCGTACAGCCAGCAGTAACAGCCTGGTTGATCAGGCCCTGATCCACCATGAAGCCTGGTCACAGACCTGGCCGCGGGGGCGTTGACTCCCGGAACTCTTTCTCCCGGTAAACTACTACATGTACTTCATCGAAGTCCCAGCCACCCTGAGACTGAAGAAATACATCCTGACATGCCATACCTGTGACTCATTCGTATCTTTAACTTCCAGCTGTGCTCCCGAGTACCTGTTTTCCGCCTCTCAAACACCATGTGCCTAGCTGCCTTATAAACTCCTCTGAGTATTTATCATGTCTTTCTGGTCTTTGTGTCTTCACGGGTCTGAGATTCAATTGCCTTAGTCACTCTTCCAGCTCGCACCCCTTGGCTCTAGAACTAGTCTAATTGTATACTTCCGCACTTCTCCAGTTTGCTAACGTGCTTTTTTTCAGATACGGGCACCATACTGGTGCTGCATATTCCAGGATGGTCCTGCACTATGTTGTATAAAGGACCCAGAATGATTCCCTGTTGAGATTCCTGAAAGCTTCTCTTAGACTTGCCAAACGAGCATTGACTTCAGAGGTTATTCGGCTGATGTGAGACACGGGTTATATTGGCCACTTGCTCTCGCTCTTAGGTCTTTCTGAGTGAAGTCTGCAGCCTCTGTCCCCAAAGTTTATACCCCTTTTCCTGTCTTCCTGCTCCTTTCCTAATCTTCATGACTTTGCATTTATTATGTCTGTGTATGTGTGTGTGTGTGTGTGTGTGTGTGTGTTTGTTTGAATTCAAACATGAAAGTTACTTACACCAAAGTGCTTGTATTGCTGCAACAATAACCATGCTTGCCAACATCTTGTAGAGATCGTAGTTCGCTAGGGCAAGTACCCACGGAGGCATCGATTTATACTGTTGTAACATAGATACAAAAATGCTTGTGGCAGTAGTATTATTTTCACTCAAACTGAAAGTGTTATTTCCATTCCAGAGGGAAATATTTGTAACAGGTCTGGGATAAAAATATGATTTAATTTCTTTCTTGATGACCCCCCACCAGTAATACAACGTTACAGATACATAATAGACTAGCTGTGGAGCCTCAGAAGTAAAATTGAAGAAATTAGTGAAAACTTTGTCAAGTTGGTATGAAGTATTGAGTTTCCTGTCTTCATGTGAGGGAGACCACTCTATTGTACTAGGATGTTTAGCTTCAACAGCAGAAGTTATAGGAACAGACAAGCTGCAGTCCCAAGTGGTTGTCACCACCACTATCACCACCACCACCACCACCACGTAGTTCAGTGTTGCAACCATCTGTCTGCCGCCTGCAAAACAAGTAAATTCAATCTGGTAATAAATATAATGAATGATGATGATGATGGTACATTTAAACCAACATGTAGGCAATGAAACGTCAATTAATGAGTAATGTATATTGCTGCCTCACACTGAGGTCTTCAACAAACACTATATTGTTGCCTCACACTGAAGTCTTCAACAAACACTATATTGTTGCCTCACACTGAGGTCTTCAACAAACACTATATTGTTGCCTCACACTGAAGTCTTCAACAAACACTATATTGTTGCCTCACACTGAAGTCTTCAACAAACACTATATTGTTGCCTCACACTGAGGTCTTCAACAAACACTATATTGTTGCCTCACACTGAGGTCTTCAACAAACACTATATTGTTGCCTCACACTGAGGTCTTCAACAAACACTATATTGTTGCCTCACACTGAAGTCTTC